TAGTGATCACCGTGGGCAACTGCAGCTGAGGTTGATCTCACCAGGACAGCCTTGCTGTAGGGTGCTCCATGGAAGGGCTGTGTTTGACCACTGCAGAGAGAAAACACATCTAGCAGGAGAGACAGGGATCATGGTGACCCGTGCTGCCCAAGGAGCAGCTTTGCTCGGCCTGGACCTGGTGGTGGAACCGTACGTGTCCCCAAGGGCCGAGGTCCCATCCTGCCACCACTTGGAGGTGCTGTGGCAGGCAGGGCAGTCAGTGGCAGCTGGAAAAAAGGCCTTCTAAAATTAATTGAAATTCCTCAAGAGGCTCCTTTGCTCTGAGGAAAGGGGGCTGGAAACTTCTGCTGGAATGGTGTTATTTTCCCAGTTGCGCCTGAAACAAACAGGAGCATTTGGGTAAATTAGAAGCAGGAAAAGTCAAATGAATGTGATAGAGTGAAACACCCTTGCATATATCCCCCCACTTAAATGATATTTTGGCAGGAATAAAAAAAAAAAAAAAAAAAAGAGTGAGGGCTTTGATGAGGGGAAAGCTGAGAGACACAAAGCCCCAGAAAGGCGGCAGGAAATTAAAGTTAATTATAAAGGAGGATTAATTTAAGCCATCAGACATGGCATGCTGGGCTAATGTCAGGCCTTAGATGCATTGCAATGCATGACAGAAATCTAAGAGCCGTCAGCCACTGCAAAAGTGGCTTTTTATTGAAAAACAGAAATTGCATTTGGTGTTATCCCAGCAAAACACATGTCTTGGGGGAGGCAGTGGTGCTGTTCAATGCTGGCAGCACCGAGGAGCAGCCTGGGCTGCATTTCCATGGCCATCCTTCCACAGGGGCGACTTTGTGAGCCCTGTTCCCAGCTCTGGCCCTTCTGGGGCTGGTGCAGGTCCCGGTTCTTGTGAAAGCTGCAGAGGAGCCGCTTTGCAGTGTGTCCCGGGGCCCGCGAGCTCGGCCAGCCCTGGTGCGGGCAGCGAGCAGCGCCCATCGGCCTCGCTCCTCCTCCTCCTGCCTGGAAGGATGAGCAGCTCCTGCCCCTGTGCCCTTGGTTGCACTTGTTGCCAGCACTGGGAACTCTGTGTTTAAATAGCAGCTTTACTCAGGCCTCAACACACCCCTGGGATCCTGCTTCATCAGCACAGCCCTGCTCTTCACTGCTTTTTACAGCTATGCGTAATTTAGCTCTTAATGAGGAACAGACCCTGTATCGGTGCTTGGGAGCAGCCCCTCCATGCAGCAGTCCCGTGCAGGCCGTGCCCCTGTGTGCAGAGCTCCAGGGAGCGGAGCCTCCTCCATGCAGGAATGGCCCCGCTGCCTCCCGGGATGCAGCTGCAGCAAGAGGCACGGACAGGCGGGCGCAGGCTGCTGGGCTCCCTCCTGCTCCCGCCGTTAGGGCTTCCCCAGCACCCTGCCCG